GCAAGCTTGGTGCCCAGATCCAGGAATAAGTAACAGAGGGTCCTGTGGCACCTTTAAGACTAACAGAAGTATTGGGAGCATAAGCTTTCGTGGGTAAGAACCTCACTTGCATCTGAAGAAGTGAGGTTCTTACCCACGAAAGCTTATGCTCCCAATACTTCTGTTAGTCTCAAAGGTGCCACAGGACCCTCTGTTGCTTTTTACAGATTCAGACTAACACGGCTACCCCTCTGATACTTATCTAGGAGTACAATTCAAAGATAGGAGTTCTGAAAATACTGAATCATGCTAATTCTGCTTCTCTGGGCTGTCTATATGAATATTTAGTTCGCAGAAAGTTAGGGTGTGAATCTATCCTGCACTGCCCTGCTGCCGCATATTATAAATTCCCTAGTGCATTTTAATATACTCCTGTTTCAAAGAGGGGTGATTTAAAGCACACTAAGGAACTTTTAGTGCATGAAAGCAGTGTCCATATGGGTACTGAGTGTGCAGCAGTCTAGTGCAGGTTAAATTTACACTCCAGCTTGCCGCAAATTAAGTCTTTGTTTAAACAAGTCCTCTACTAAAAATAACAACAGAAGCCGCCATCTATTTCACTTGCAGCAGGAATAGGTACATGGCAAATGCACACACAAGTTGGTATAAATTTCCTTCATCCTCCTTTTCTCTGTTCCTTCTGCTTGTTTGTTACATCTACTTGTGTCTTGTCTTATCTTAATTAGATTGTGACCTCTTTGGTGCAGGTTCTGTGATTCTGTATGATTGTATAATGCCTCCCTCACTGGGGCCCAATACTGACTGAGGCCTCTAGGAGGCACTATAAGAATACAAATCCCTACTTTAAGTACAAAATGCAACTCAACCTTAAATATGGAGTTGTGACCAGTGCCTCTATAATAAATAAATAGCAGCTAATGAGTTTTAAACAGAAAGTTGTGGTCACTAATAAAAGGACTCCTGAAGTCTGGTGTTGCAAAATATATTGAAATGTCAAAGTGGATTAATTCACTATTTTGTTTCTGAACTTTCCCCCTTGATCTGTTTGCTCCTCATTTACCTTGTATCTGCTAGCTTTGTAAGAGTTCTGTCTTCTTACTTCTAATTATGCTTAAGATTGCAAGACAGAGAATGTTTGGAGCACTAGAGAGATAAAGTCCATCTCTCTTGCTAAGTGCTAAGTAAAGTGTTAAGTACACTGCTTTGGAATGAATGGAAAAATAAAGGCAACAAATCTGCCCAGAAAGCTTATTCACTTTTTAAGAATTAACAACAATAAAAGACTCCAGTGTCTTTCGTTTGCTTTATAAATAGTGCTCCATCTGTTTCACATTTTTATTAATATTTATATTATGGAGCTTAGATGCTCTTATCAATATTGGGGTTCCACTGAGCTAGTATCTACACCTACATACAGATTCCTGCCCCGAAGGCTTTGCATTTAAGACCACTTTACCATTGTACTTACCATTATAACTGGCCCAGTGCAGTGATGTATATCCATGATTGTCTGCTATGGCCGGTACCGCATCCACAGATGTTGCTGACTGCAAGAGAGCTCCTAGAACACCAATATGTCCACACGCAGCTGATAAGTGTATAGGTGTTCGCCCTCGGCAGTCTCGTAGCAAGGACTTAGCACCATGTTGAAGCAATGCTTCCACACACTCCTCATGCCCTGTAACTGCCTGGAAAAGAAAGATACAATATGCATGAGTGCGCGCGTACACACACATGCGCACACACCCTGAAGAAAAAAAAAATCTGTTATTGCCTTAACATACAATATTGAGAGCAGGCTACTACAAAATAAGCCCAGTCATTTTTACTTAAGTAAGTGGGCATTGCAAAGAAAAATTCAATAATTATTAGCTTAGTGATAGCGTATGTTTTTCTTTTGTGATGGCCTAAAGTGATATGCTAATCCCCAGGGCCTCCTTAGTTGTATCATCTGGCATGGACTTTAAAGAAACAGTTGGCATCTTGTACATAGAAAACACAAAAAAAGGAGTTATTTTCTTCCTCTCTCCAATATTCTCCCTCACCCCCAACAAAAATGATACCTTGGAATGTTCTAGCTAATGTGCTTCTGCAAGTTGAAGTGAATCAGAAGATACAAAGAACACTGAAGGTAAAGTGCAAAAGGGCAAAAATCTAACCACTCAAATGCAATAAAAGAGAAGACCAACCAAGCACAGTAGAACACTAATGTTAGTGGAATAAAAAAAAAAAAGAATCAAATTCAGCAATGATGCAAACTGCAGACATTCTCAATTTGTATTTAAAATTGATGCACACTTTTTTGGAAATGGCAAAAGGGAAATCTTTTCTTACCCCTCTATGTAATGCAGTTCTTCCCCATTTATCTTTGGCATCTACGTTTGCTCCTTTGTTAAGCAATGAATAAACGCAGTCTGTGTGCCCATTGAGAACAGACAGCATCAGAGGAGTCCTGAACAGTGAGACAAAAGAGTAAGAAAAAGTTTCCATGCAGGTTACACTTTAATAGTCTAGTGGTCAGCTAACATACTTAAAACTCCAAAAACAACTTTTGTTCTCCTAGAGAAAGCTCTTCAACAACTGATCCATTAGCGAACAGCACTTTGTAAACTAATCACAAAAGCAGTACTGATATTTTGTTTAGACATAAGAAGGTAAACCTATTTCCAAGAGTGTAACATAAAAAAGCTAATTACATCACTTTGTTTAGTGAACAAAGTATCTTAATTTGTTTCCTGTGGAATGAGGATCAAAATTCTGTGAAATTTACAACTGTGGTACTCAGAGACACAAACTACATTAATCCTAGTTAGGATATTGTCCCTCCATTTAAAAAAACAAACAAAAAATCACCAATAGAAAATAATGACTTTTTTTTTGTGCTATGGGGTCCAGAAACTATAATGTAAATTATAGGATGCAATATCTTGTGAAAAATCAGAATATGGACTTCTTAAACTTACTGTCCACTTCCATCTTGAATGTCCACTGCATTTTGTGGTTCTGCATTGCCTATCAACAATCGCAAGCATTCTGAATGACCATTTGTAGCTGGAAAATGTTACAAAAACAATCAGCATATCATGTTTATCATCCTTGGGTATGAAAATATAAATAGTATTACCAAAATGAAGATGTCAGCTTCTACTAGAACCATTAATACAAGCACTCATTGGCCATAATGGGGTCAGCATTTATAACTTAATTTGAAAACAGGAAATCTTTGACCTTATATCCAATACTCAAACATGTTTTTAACATAATTAAATATTCAAAATCCATAGAACTATATTACAACTGAACAGAATGTGATGGTTTCAAGATATGTGCCATTGTTAATGACTATCTTCTTGTGTATGTAAATAAGGATGAGAATAACTATAGGAACAGTTCATGCCTATGTATGTTTAACAAGAAATAGTGCTTCACTTTCATTCTTTATACATACTCATTAAACACAATTATTTATTTAAAGCAAGTGAGTCCTTGTCTAACCTACCACACATAGATTTAAATGTTAATATATTGTGTGTGTATTTGTAAGGGATGGGAAGAGAGATCACACTGAAGAGAGGGGCAGGAGAACAGTTACACAATTAGTAGGAGGGATAAGCCAAGAAGAGGAAAGTTACGGAAACTGTATTTAAAAGGAGTTCTTGAGAGATAAAGTTTGCTTCCTGGGCTATTGCACTGAGCCCCTGGAAGTAGGATACACCTCAGGTTGCTCAGCAACAACCTGTCCGGCAAATCTGAGAATGGTGCTAATGGAAGCTGAAAGGAGGGAGAAAACAAACAGAAGAATAAAACGAGTGTTCAAGGAGAAAAAAAAAAGTCTCTCTCTCTTATGGCGATCTAATATTGTTTATGGACTGCTCTTTTTACCAAGACATGTTAAATGACATATACTACTATGCCATTGGCAACTTAAACCAAAAAAAAAAAAAAGTAAAAGTTCACTTGCAAAAAGACAAGAAAGGAATGAATAACTAAGTATCCCTTAAAAAGACATCTCTGGGGGGGAAACCACAGGGAGAAGTGAGAGAGGGAGAGAAAGGATTAAAAATCATCATCAACATTAATTTTTTCAAAAACTCAGTAAGAGTTCAGTCACTTAATCCTTAAAGCACTGAGTAAAAACCATCAAACTTCTCTTCTCACAAAACTGCTAAAGCTCTCCAAGATACAGATTAAAAGCAGAGCACTGTTTGATGCCATCCACAAATTATGACAGGTAAGTTACATAACATATCTCAACACTACAATGTCCTACAAATGGCAGGGCCATGACCATGTCATTCACCCACAAACATCCTAGACAGCACAGCTGTTTGGCATGGAGGGAAATGCACACTGCATCCATTTAATGCAGGGGTAGGCAAACTTTTTGGCCCAAGGGCCACATCTGGGAATAGAAATTGTATGGCGGGCCATGAATGCTCACAAAATTGGGGTTGAGGTGCGGGAAGGGGTAAGGGCTCTGGTTGAGGGGGTGCGGGCTCCAGGGTGGGGCCAGAAATGAGGAGTTCAGGGTGTGGGAGGGGGTTCCAGGCTGGGGTGGGGGGTTGGGGTGGGAAGGGGTGCAGCTCTGGCTGAGGTGCAGGAGGGTGCACAGGGCTGGGACCGAAGGGTTTGGAGGCCGGGAGGGGGATCAGGGCTGGGGCAGGGGGTTGGGGCACGGGGAGGTTGGGGGGGAGGGGGAGAAAGGGAGGTGAGGGCTCCAGCTGGGGGTGCAGGCTCTGGGAGGCACTTATCTCAAGCGGCTCCCGGAAGCAGTGGCATGTCCCTTCTCCGGCTCCTTCGCAGAGCCCCCAGGCTGCCCCTACACATAGGAGCCGGAGGGAGGACATGCCGTTGCTTCCAAGAGCCGCGTGGAGAGGCCCCTAACCCTATTCCCAGGCTGCAGCGCCGGATTAAAATGGCTGGCGGGTTGGATCCGGCCCATGGGCCGTAGTTTGCCCACCCCTGATTTAATGGATTGTAGAGGTACTACACTCCTCCAGAGCCCAAGGAAGACATCTAACTAAGGCATTTTCTCTCTCTCTCACTAAGCTAAGGCACTCCCACTACCTCATGCTCTTCCTCATCCTCCACAGTGCAGAACATAATTTAAGACATAATTTACTCTGTTAATGCCACAGAAACAACAGACTGCTGTGCATTATTACATGAACAAAATAATATAAACCCCAAACCAATGCATTTGTGTTCAGCACAACATACCTGCAGCATGTATTGGAGTTCTCTTTACAACATAGTCTTTCACTAAGATTGATGCTCCCTGATTAATAAGTACATCCACACACTCCACATGTCCCTTAAAAGCTGCAAGATCCAATGGTGTCCTTCCATTATTGTTCCTCACATCAAGGTCCAACAAAGACTGCACTAGTACTTCCAGAGCTTGATGGTGACCATGGTAGGCCTAAGGGAATATTAACACAGTGCAGTAGTGTTTCATTTACATCAGAAAAGGACACAATGAAAATAGTGTGTAACAAAAGCATTTAGAAGAATATCAGCGGTTTTAAGTAAAAATCAGTCATTTTGTAACCAATGTTAAAAACATAATTGCAAATGAACAATCTGTACCTATTTTTATTTAATTTTTTTTTATCAGTAATTGGAAGAAATTAGAAAAAAATGTGTCATTTTTCCAGTTTGTTTACTTTGTGTATTTGATAACTCTTTAGGTGCAGTGAACTTCACTGCTTTACGATCAGGTGCATGACTCTTATGCATGGGTCTAGTTGGGGGCTCACATGCAGACTCTTCATTACCCTCTGCAGAGGGCATTTATTTGTAATAGCAGCAGCAAAGCTGAAACTGAAGAGGCAGATGTGCTCATATACTTAAAAAGAAGTGGGAAAACAGGTGGGCCACAACTATGTTCAGTGCTGTTGCGCTCAGGATGCCCATAGGATCTTAAAGGAAGAAGGCATATAGGAAAAACTCATTTAAAAAAAATGATTTTCTATTTTTTTTAAAGGCAGGACAAACATGAAGTGATGTACCAAAAATTGCTCTTTTTAAAATTGTCATTGGCAGTGGCCCTTTAATAGGGCAAAATGTTTACAAATAATATGGCAGAGCAGTAAAAACAGAAGTTAAAGCATTTCAAGTGCAGTGTAGTAAATGGAATGAGGTCAATAGATACACAGATCAATTCTTTATCCTATCTTATGTTTTTTTCAGATTTTATCTTTTCAGGACTTTATATACCACAGCCCTATAAATCATCTTGTGTAAAAATTAAAGGATGATTAATACATAACCACTGCATTTAGTCTTTTATACAAAACACAGAACATTTTCACGACAGAGTAAGGACCCAATTCTATAAGAAGCTCTGAGTGGATGAACTCCTGGCAAGATCAGGGTCTAAGTGATTACATAAAGACAAAAAAAAGTTAGTTTATTGTAATATAGAATCAACTTTTTATTTTAAAAAAACTTTTTGTAGATTTTATTTTATATTTATGTAATACTTTTTTTCCCCTTCAAAAGAACATGCTAAAACTGGAATGACAGGAAATTCCCTGAGACAAAGTGGGTGAGGTAATAACTTTTATTGCAGAGGTTCCCAAACTTTTCTTATTTGTGCATCTCCTTTCAGATCTACCAGCTGCCCATGAACACTACCCTTCTCATCATTGACACTGTGTGTGTTCTTCTTAACACTACCTTTCTTTAGCCATCTGCCCATATTTCACTGTTACGTACAGATATAGTTATAGTGCGACATATACAACCAAAAAAAAACCCCTGATTAAGTTCTGAGCTCAGTCAAATTGGATAGAGGCTGAGCAACTCAACCCGCGCTATACAGTGGTTGGAGGTGTGGGCTCTCTACGTCAACATCTCTCAGGTTTCAGAGTAGCAGCCGTGTTAGTCTGTATCCGCAAAAAGAAGAACAGGAGTACTTGTGGCACCTTAGAGACTAACAAATTTATTAGAGCATAAGCTTTCGTGGACTACAGCCCACTTCTTCGGATGCATCGTCAACATCTCTGTGTTCTCACCGGTACATCTTGAAGTAAGTTAATTACTGTATTTTATAACAAATTCTCAGTTTCAAAGCTTCATCTGAATAGCCTATTATGAGAATGTAATAAATAAAATAATAAATAAACTATTATACAATTTCTCCCGCAAGTCTCCCAGAGATGTCTCGTGTATCTCTTTTTGGAACTCCTATTTTATTGGACCAACTTCTGTTGAAGAGACAAGCTTTTGAGCCCCATAGAAATCTCCTTCAGGTCTGGGAAAGGTACTCCCAGCCTCACAGCTAAATGCAAGTAGTGGCCTGCAGAGGTGTTAATGGACCGCTCTATCTTGAATGGTCCCTTATATTATGTGCTAATTGCTTATGCTAAACAATCTGTTCCACCTTGCATTTAGCGGTGATGCTCAAAGTACCTTTTCCAGACCTGAAGAAGAGCTGTGTGTGGCTCCAAAGCTTGTTTCTCTCACCAACAGAAGTTGGTCCAATAAAAAATATTACCCCACCCACTTCCTGTCTCTGATATCCTCAGACCAACACAGCTACAGGAAATTCCCTGTAAGAAAAAAAATAAATAAATAAAGACAGACCAGGTGGTTGTTGTTGGCAGAATGGAGAAGATTTGGAAAGTGATGCAATAAGACTAGAATTGATAACTGTGGGAAATCTACCGTGTAGACCTGTCATGATAATGTGTCAAATGCCATGGTACAGCTATGAGAACAATGAACAACTTCAAATGCTGGTCCAAGCTATTACAAAAAAATAAAATAAAAATCAACTGTGTTTATTTGAAGAACAGGAGTACTTGTGGCACCTTAGAGACTAACAAATTTATTAGAGCATAA